CAAATTGATTAGCTCCTTGCATAATTAAAATAACATTAAGTGCCATCACTTTGAGTTTAAAAAATTGTTTTGATTAACAGCAAATATACACAGTTTAACATTAAGACATTAAATGGTGTTATCTCAAATTATTATTAATCTGTTATTTTTCAAAATGTTAAGGAGGTGTTTGCGGCTAGTTCAGTGACCAACATTTACAATTCCCCAAAAAAGTGCAATTTTCATTTTTCCTGGCTGGCATTAAATTTCATATGCTTTTCCCACAAAGCATGAAAACATAATATAACATTATATTATAAATAATAACCAACATTATGTTGTAATTAAACAATCAATTTTACTAATTCTTTACTTAGTGAAAGAGTAAATAGCATGGTAAATGCTGAGGTACAGAACAAGGAAAATAAATAAATATTAAATGTTTACAAATCATTTAAAGAAGAATTAGTTAAGAGAGGAGGATTAGCAAGAATGTTAAAATGAAGAAAATGGCTATTAAAGACATCAGGAGCTATACAGGACAAGATTCACAAGCCAGTAGAACTTACAGAGTTGAAGGATGTGTAAAATAAAAGAGTAGAAGTGAACAAGACATTAGAGAAATGAAGGATGGAAAAGGCTCCTCCTGCTGAATCCAGGTCCAAGGAGAAATTCAAATGGGGTAAGAATGACTTGGAGATGGATTTTCCAATCCACAGGGGGTCAGTAAAGTTGTTTAAAGATGTTCTATGTCAGTAGTATGTCGAAAATTGCATTAAATTACACAAACACATAATTAAAGCTAAACATTCAGAATGTTAGGCAGCACCATTCTGAGCCAGATGGTAGTTGATTCTGACTGTACTTTGGGCACTAAGGATCTAATTAGTCTTTGCAAGAAGGTATGCAGGTGTCAGTCAATTCTGAAGTTAGCGCTGAGCTGGACAGGTTAATGGATACCCTGGAATATTTGAAATTGATGAGGCCTGAGGCAAGTTTCAAACACTTACTTGGAGAAGTTTAGGAGCTTGAGAACATGTAAGACATTTGATTTAGGTCTGTTTCTGAAAGTTTACAAGTATGTGCTGTATGTTTGTCTTTTTATTTCTTCATCTTAAATCACCCGTCTCAGTAAGGATTAGTTTAAAAGAGGACTGTTTTGTATGCTCCAGTACTGAACTGTTAATCTAAAATGATCATGTTATTTTAGTATCATTATGTTTTGCCCATTTCCTAAGAGATGTTTGGGCTTGACAATGTAAACCTCACTTGAATGGTAACAGAGACCACATAATTCCTGAGAAACAGTCAAATAACTTGAGTTCCACTAGACCACCTTCTCAAGCATTAGTGTTCATAAGTTTTCCCTGGCTAACAAATTAAAAATACAGATTCCAAGGACCATCCTCAGTGATTCTGGTTCAATAAGCTTGGGATGAGAACTGAGAATCTGCACTTTTAACAAATGCTGATAGGGAATCCATTGACCATCCTTTGCAGATCACACAAGAGTTCCTTGAGGATAAGAACAATTATTTATTTTTTATAATTGCTTCAGGATCTTATGTGATGATGTTTGGCAATAGTTAATAATGATTTGTTGAGTTAATAATGATTTCATGATTATTTCACTCTGGCTTGTTCTCATTTAATACTTTGTTATTTTCAGGTTCTACATTGTTTGCCTAGAATACTAGTCTTAAATTCTTCATCCTAAACAACAGTATCGTGTTTTGTAATTGGGTTTCCTGTACATTTCATCCTTCATTTAAGATTTATTGAGCTCACACTATATCCCAGAGACTCTTCTAAAACAGGGGATATATCATTGACATAGACAAAGATACTTCCTGCATGGAACTTAGATTTTGGAAATCTGAGGTTTGAAATTATTTTCTCAGAAAATGATTATATAAGTTCTTAACACTAAAGAGCTTCTTACAGTCTTGAATTAAGTAAAAAATTCATTTTTGCAACTTTCGAAGCTCACTGAGGAGAAGAGAGATTGGCTTAAAACACCAGGGAATTTTATTTTTGCACATAAATATTTATATGTATAAAGGGGCGTGTGGTTAATTATAAGCGATGGGAGGAGAATGACAGATGCTTAGATCCTCTGTCCCCATGGAGAGACAGACCTTGCCTGTTGGAGTGTAGTGGCACCTTGTGTGGTCTGTGTACTGAATCACTGATTTAAATATTGCAGCAGCTGGAGTGCAAAGCATATCAGCAAATACTATAGGAGGAGGAGTGCATGTGTCCTGAATACAAAGTAAGAATAAAATAGGTTTGCATAGTCACATTGAACAATGCTGTGGATGGCATTTTTCTTTTTATATTTTAGTTTCAAAGGAGAACTAGAGAAGGGCAACTGGACAGTCCAGGAAACACTGGCAGGCTAATGCGTAGAGAACTGATGCTGCTTCCTGAATCCCAAATTTCTATTCCCTGCAGAGAGGGAGAACGGAGAAAGCTGGGGGTGGGGGAGAAAGAGAGAGAGAGAGAGAACTCTCCTTATGCTGGGGAAGACATACTCAGATAATTCATCTCCATAATGAAAGCAGTAAATTATACAGGTATAGAGCCTACTTCAAGGCTCATGAGAAAAATGAAAAGAAGAAAATACAGTTTTCTTTATCAACTTTAATTTTATTTCCTATACTTTTGGTGTGATATGAAGTTCAAAATTCTTTTCTCAATTTTCCTTTAATAAATAAATATCTCTAAGGGCTTTCTAGTTTACACAGACTACTCCTTTCATCATTTACTATTATTTTCCCTATTTTACAGATTGAGAATGTGGGGCACAGAGTTCAAATGATGGTACACAAAGACTAATTCATTTTGTAAGTAGCAGAACAGATTAAATCCAGGTTCTCTAATTACAAAATCATATTACCCTTCTTATTCATACTCATTCTGTTTTTGTTGTTGTTGTTATTGTCTCTCCTCTCCCTTTATAATTTCCAAAGTCAGAAATGACAGAAAAGCTGGAGGAGTGAGGCTGGGGGTGGGAGGTGAAAAAATGCTTTACACTGATGGGTAGAAATTTTCTACTTACAAATATGATGTTGAAAAAGAATAGGAAAAATTAAAAGCAGTTTATGCAGAAATGTGAATTCAAACAGTAAATGAACAGATACATTTCATACTTGAAACAAGCAAATAGCTAAAAACCTTTAACTCCTTTTCTCAGTAGTCTAGATTCCTCTGCTTTACCACTTATACTGAAGATGTCATATCATCTGGTGAACTTCCTGTAAAGACCATCTGACTAAAAAGTGTTTCCCAAAGTTCCAGGTTATCACAAGAGTCACCTTCATCTCAACCTGAAAAGGTTCTTGATGGTCATCAGAAATTATGACCCGGAGTCATTTAATGTGCCAATTCCTTATAAGTCTGGATCACAGCTCCCCATCCATGCTGATGCCAATGGGTTTTGTAATGTTCATGTGGAAACAGCAGGGAACAGTGAGCTGGATTCCATTCTGCCTCATGCCTCATCAGCCAGATGGTTGGCTGTATCAAAGCCAGTAATGCTGATGTCAGAGACGAGAGAACACAGCTGGATTTTCAGGTTCGAGGGGAAAGAGGGAATCTATAATGCTTAAAGTTTGGGTGAAAATTGCCTTTGGACTGATGGATAAAGCCAACTAGAACTGATGGAGAGGTTTTAATGTTAAGTCCTGAAGCAACATTTCTGTGTAATTGCTTTTTGAGCCATGGTAGGATCCGAATCCTCTTTATCTCACACCTGCTAACAGACCTACTGGTGCCAGTAAGCTAGCTATTGTGTACGAGATCTAGATGAGATTTTAGCACTGACATATTAGGCTCCTACCAACTCCTGGCTACTACTGTGTATCTTCTCTTATCCTTGGATTTCTGGTGACTAGCATGAAACCAAAAACTATGAGGATGGAAAATAGCTTAGAAAACCTGTTCCTAGAAACTTGATGAAGATTTTATTTTTAGGTATATCACTATAATTTTGCACCTTGACTAAGGTGTGAGAAAGGTAATACATAGTCTTGTTTTCTGGCATGATCACACTAGGGCTAGGAGGAAAACTAATCGTAGGCATATGGGACAGAGTAGGCTGGACAGAGCTATTTCCTTACTACTTCCTTACTAGGTGGATACAATGTAGAAAACTTGAAAAAAGGGACTCAGGTCTTTATTCTATCACTGTTGCTGCTAAGATGTTCATTGCTGAATTGTACTTGTCCCATTTGAATATGAACACTCCCTTACAAAATTTTGGCCATGGTTCCAAAGGCCCTAGCACATGCTACCCATGTGTTACCACATCAGAAGTCTTATCACTTGTGGACCACTGCATGGAAAAGGGGTCCAAGTCTTCTATCCACACCTGAAAAAAACAATATTCCCCTCCCTTCCAAAAATGCTTTCACTGTGTAGGAATCTCTCTTTTTTGCCCTCTCTCCAGCATTCAGGCTGTTAATCCCTGTTTCCCAAGTACCAGCTTCTTCCCAAAGATCTGGAATGAGGTTGGGGTAGTGGGAAGGGTGTTGCCTTCAAGGGTCTCTTCTGGAAAACAAAGAAGCTACTACAATAATTCCCACAGATCAAGGGAGACTCATCACAGTGACATGATTATTCTTCTTGGAAGGGAGGTAGGATGAGAAAAAGTTTCCTTTTATTCTTTATATTCTCCTACTGCAGCAAGAACAAAGTAAAATTAATATCTCAATGAATCATCCTGCCACAGAGAAGTAGGTGACTTGTAGGTTATTAAGGTTCAGTGAAGACTTGTGAGCTATGAACACACTATCTATGATTAAATCAAGTTTGGGAATGTAGGACCAGAGAATGATTGAGCAATGATTTGCAGATGAGTGCCTGATCCAGGAGGATTCAGGCAATACTTCATTGGTGCAATAAATGTGACATTTGGTGTCAGGAGAATAACAAATCCAGGGAGAGAGGGCTATTCAGACCTAAATGTGCAGGGCTAATAAACAGTATTTCTGATGTCAGGAGTGCCTGCATATAAGTGTGCATAAAATGCTTAAGCAGTAATCTCTCTGTGATGCTGCAGAAAGACAGTTTCTGCCACAGCTGCAGCAGCAAAAGGGGTGCCATGAATTTTAACCCCCAGGAATTAACCTATGTAAATGACTTCTGGGTAGCAGGAATGATTTTTTTCCAAAAAGCACTCAGCCCAGAAGTAGCTCTTTTCTTGCCAACATTCTGGGTGATTTATACAACTGTTCTCACTGAGGAGTGCAGAAACAAGATTTTGCAGCAGAACGTGACTGTAGAACTGGAGGCAAGAGATGTTCCCTGAAGCTCTAATAATTGCATAGAGGCAGAGTGAAAAGATCAGTTGGACCAAGACAAAGACATTTATTTTAGCTATAACAGTGCACTGATGTGATGGATTTAATAAATAATGCCTTGGCTCCATGATTTTTACTACTACCTATTATTTGTAAATAATAACTACTACATGCTTATTATGCTTATGATATATTACCATAAGGTAAGAAAAATAACTAACATGTATTAGTTACAATTTTGCTATGTTCTATGGTATATTTTTTAGATGTCTATAAATTTGTCCCCTCTCCATATCTATACCACTGATGGTACCTTCCTATACTAACTCTGGGCTAGGCAATATGACTTGTATTGGTAAATGAGAAAATAGCAAATGCAACATAGATGGATTTTAAAAGTGCTTGAGTAGTGGAGTTGCTCTGTTGCTGCTCTTAGATGCCTGATCAGTCCTGTGAATAAGCCCAGGCTACTCTGTGGGAGGATTAGGGCACAAGGTCTACTTTCCTCCATCACTAGAGCCAACAATGAGTTAAACTACAGAAGCAGGATGAATAGCTGGCCAATGACAGACTATATACACTGGAGTAAGCTGCATTTAGACCAGGGGAAGAAACTCCCAGAGAAGCACAACCCAAATTGTGACCTACCCAATTGTGAGCTAAATAAATGGTTCTTGTTTTAAGCAAATAAGGTTTGGAATATTTTGTAATACAGGCTTGTTATGGAGCAATAGATAATGGATATAGTTCTTTATACACATATAGCTCATTTAATGTTCAAAATAGCCCTATAGAATCGATATTATTATCACTTTCATTTTACAGGTGAGGAAGCAGGTGCAAAGAGGTAATGAGAACATGAACCAGTCTCATATAGCTCGTAATGGTAGGACTGAGATTGAGATAGCCTGATTCCAGTGTCCCTGCACTTAACTACTATGCATGATTAAACATTAATTTAAGTATTAATTATTAAACCAAAAATCAAAGCAAAACACCTGTCTTTTTAAAATGGTTAAATTGTTTTATTTTTTAAAAATTGCTGTATTATGTATGATTGATTATTATGTAGGTATGATTAACATACAAAAAGCTACACATACTTAATGCATACAACTTAATGAGTTTGAAGATAAGTATACACCTATGAGACCATTATCACAATCTGTACCATAAACATATCCATCACAAATGTTTCCTCCTGGCTTCTTTATGTATTGTTGTTATTATTATGATAAGAACACTTAACGTAAGATCTACCCTCTCAACAAATTTTAAAATATTCAATACAGTACTCTTAAATGTAGGCACTACACTGCATAGTAGATCTCTAAGACTTATTCATTTTGTGTAACTGAAACTTTGTATCCTTTGACTAATACTTTACCATTTCCTCCTCACTCCAGTGCCTGGTAACCATAATTCTACTCTTTTTCTATGAGTTTGACTGTTTTCAATTTATCATAACAAGTGGTATCATGTAGTATTTGGTCTTCCGTGTCTGGCTTATTTCACTTAGCATAACGTCCTCTAGCTTCATTCATGTGGTTGCAAATGGCAGGATTTCCTTCTTTTTTGAGGTTGAATAATATTCTTGTGTGTGTGTGTGTGTGTGTGTGTGTGTGTGTGTGTGTGTGTGTACATTTCAATTAATCTTTTCACCTGTGTAAAAAGAAATCATATGAAAAAGAACCCCTCAGGGAACTTTTGGCCATGATGGGATAACAAGAACCATATTAACTCACCTTTCTTAAGCAGCTATAAAAGTGAATAAAGTAGATGAAACAGTAGGTTTCAGGCATTAAGAAAACAAATGAGGTGACCCTACAATTCTAACAGTTCATTACCTAGAAAGAGTTTCCACAAAGTAGTAGGGAAGGAGAATCCACCCAGAGACAAACAGGCTAAGTTTAAAAAGCAGAGTTTGGAGTTTAGGCAGACCAAGGTGGCTAGAATTTGCAGGGGAAAATATGAGAGAGGTGAGACCTGCACAGAGAAAGATCTTCTGATGTCCCCAAAAAAGACCTTCGAGTCTTTGGATAAGTTATCTGCTTATGTATGTAAGAAAATTGCCAGAAGTCACGTAAAGAACCCTGGAAAGGAGTAGATAGATTGTACAGGCCTGGAAACAGTTGGTATTTTCACTAGCCGGAGTAGTAAGACCTCCTAATATAAACAGCCTAAAGTAGAATCCTTGGAGAGGCATAGCCTTAATCATGAGGCCAAATTAACCATAGATTAAAAATTGCTTAGAATCCACACTAACAAAGCTTAAGAGCAAAACTTAAGGTGATCAAAATGATTCCAAGTAATTTAATCCCAAAAATATTAGCAATAAAGAAATCTAACAAACCTATTACCCAACAACAAAAACCTCAAAATGTCTACATTCAGCAAAAATTACCAGATGTCTAAAGAAGAAGAAAAATATCCATAACCAGGAGAAAAATCAGTAGAAGCATCTCCAGAAACTACAAAAATAATGGAATTTTCTGACAAGAACATGAAAACACCTCTCTCCATATGTTTGAGAAGGGAGATGAAAGCATACAAATGATGGAAGAAAGGCAAGATATAAAAAAGACTCAAATGAACTTCTGGAAATAAAAAATACAGTGTCAGAAATGACAAATTATATTAATGGGTAATTAGAATTTAGCAGAATGAAAAATTAGTGTTTATAAAGACATCACAGTATGACCTTACCACAGTAAAATATATAGAGAAAAAAATGTCTGTAACAAGAAAATCAGTGATTCACAGAACACTATTAGGTGATTTACTATATGTATAGTTGTAGTAGAAGGAGAAAACAAGGAGGGAAATATACATACTTGCAGAAATAATAGTAAAAAAAAGTCAAAATATGACAAGCTCTGTAAGTCCATATAACCAAGAAGTTTAATATATCCCAACTATAAGAAACAGAAGAAAACCACTGCAGAAACTTCTGAAGTCTGGTGATGAAGACAGAATCTTAAAGCAGCTAGACATATATTACATGAAGAGGGATAAATATATAAAATATAGCATATTTCTTGTTAAAAACCATGCTATCAGAAGATAATGGAATAGTATCTTTATAGTATAGAAGAGGGGCAAAAAAATCGGTCAACCTAGGATTTTATACCCAACAAAAATAACTTTCAAAAAATAAAGGCAAAGAGACTTCTGCCAAGATGGCCAAGTAGGAATAGCTCCAGAGTGCAGCTCCCAGCAAGAGAGATGCAGAAGACAAGTGATCTCTATATTTCCAACCGAGACACCAGGTTCATTTCAATGGGACTGGTTGGACAGTGGGTGTAGCCCAGGGAGGACAAACTGAGGCAGGGTGGGGTATTGCTCCACCCTGGAAGTGCAACTGACTAGAGGATCGGGGACTTTACCCCCTTGGCACTCCAGTTCAGATACTGTGCTCCTTCCATGACCTTCTCAATCCACAGTCTGGGAGAATGCCACCGGGCTGAGAAGCGCTGTAAGTTGCCAGCACAGATCTAACCAACAGCTCCGGCTGGCCCAGTGCTGCGAGTTGGTTGGCACAGAACAGTGCAGCAGTTTTGGCTAGCACTGAGAGTGCCTGCGGGATGGATCTACCCACCCCCCAGAGAGAGGGAGAGCTGAAAGCAGGGAGACAGGTGATACAACTTGGCATATCCCACATCCACAAAGACCAGCAAACTGAAGCCCTCTTGCCTCAGACTTTTGCAGCCAGCACATCAGTGTGAGCTTGACCTGGGACCCTCAAGCTTGGTGTTGGGAAGGGCATCTGCCGTTGCAAAGGCAGGTCTAATCTGACTTGTGTAAACAAAAGCCAAAGAAAACCTACACAGCAGCTGGGCTGAGACCGAGGCAGCCCAGCAGCACCTCTGCAGGCAGATAAGGGACACACTGTCTCCTCAAGTGGCATCCTGACCCCTGTATAAACAAAACAAACAAACAAACAAAAAAGCCCCATACAGCAGAGGGGCCTGACTGTTGGAAGGAAAATTAAAAAACAAAAAGAAATAGCTTCAACATCAACAGAAAGGACATCCACTCAGAGACACCATCCAAAACCACCAACTTCAAAGATCAAAGGTAGATAAACCCATGAAGATGGGAAGAAACCAGCACAAAAGGTTGAAATCATCAAAGACCAGACTGCCTCTTCTACTCTAGGGGATCACAACTCACCAGCAAGAGAAAAAAACAAGACAGAGAATGAGTTTGACGAATTGACAGAAGCGGACATCAGAAGGTGGGTAAAAACAAACTTCTCTGAGCTAAAGGAACATGTTCTAACCCAATGCAAAGATACTAAAAACCTTGAAAAAACGTTACACAAAATGCTAACTAGAATAACCAACTTAGAGAAGAACATAAATGATTTGGTGAAACTGAAAAACAGCACGAGAACTTCATGAAGCATACACAAGTATCAATAGCTGAATCAACCAAGCAGAAAGATATCAGAGATTGAAGATCAACTCAATGAAATAAAATGAGAAGGCAAGAAAAGAGAAAAAAGAGTGAAAAGAAATGAACAAAGGCTCCAAGAAATATGGGATTATGTGAAAAGACCTAATCTACATCTGTTAGGTATACCTGAATGTGATGGAGAGAATGAATCCAAGCTGGAAAACACTCTTCAGTGTGGCGATTCCTCTAGGATCTAGAAATATAAATTCCATTTGACCCAGCAATCCCCTTACTGGATATGTACCCAAAGGATTATAAATCGTTCTGTTATAAAGACCATGCACAAGTATGTTCATTGCAGCACTGTTTACAATAGCAAAGACTTGGAACCAATCCAAATGCCCATCAATGATAGACTGGACAAAGAAAATGTAGCACATATTCACCATGGAATACTATGCAGCCGTAAAAAAAGATGAGTTCATGTTCTTTGTAGGGACATGGATAAATCTAGAAACCATCTTTCTCAGCAAACTGACACAAGAACAGAAAGCCGAACACCGCATGTTCTCACTCATAAGCAGGTGTTGAACAATGAACACATGGGCACAGGGAGGGGAACATCACACACTGGTATATGTTGGGGGTGGGGACTAGGGGAGGGACATCAGGGGGTGGGGAGGTTGGAGAGGAATAACACTGGGAGAAATGCCTGATGTAGGTGATGGGGGGGATGGAGACAGCAAATCACCATGGCATGTGGGGTACCTGTGCAACAATCCTGCAAGATCTTCCCATGTAACCCAGAAGTTAAAGAAAGTACAATTAAAATAAATAAATAAAATAAAGGCAAAAAGAAAAGACATTTGCATTAAAAAAAAAAACGCAGAGCAATTCATCAGCAGCAGACTACACTGCAAGAATGTAAAACAAAATTCTTTAAGCACAATGAAAATTAGACTAGATGGAAATATGAATCTATGTGAAGACATGAAAAGAACTGAAAATAACAGATACATAGGTAAATATAAAGAAAATTTTTCTCATTTAAAAACTCTTTAAAAAATGATTACTTCAAAATAAGAACAGGCCAGGCACGATGGCTCACGCCTGTAATCCCAGCACTTTGGGAGGCCGAGGCAGGTGGATCACGAGGTCAAGAGATCGAGACCATCCTGGTCAACATGGCGAAACCCCGTCTCTACTAAAAATACAAAAAATTAGCTGGGCATGGTGGTGCGTGCTTGTAATCCCAGCTACTCAGGAGGCTGAGGCAGAATTACCTGAACCCAGGAGGCGGAGGTTGCGGTGAGCCGAGATCGCGCCATTGCACTCCAGCCTGGGTAACAAGAGCGAAACTCCATCTCAAAAAAAAAAAAAAGGACAATATGTTTTGTGAATAACATAGACAGAAATAACATCATAATAGTACCAAGGAAAGAATCGGAAAAATCGAAGTATACTGTGTTAAGATTCTTATGATATACATAAAGTGGTAAAATATTATTTGAAGGTAGATATGATAAATTTGAGAGATGTGTTTAAAACCTGAGAAGTTTTAAAACATTTCTACAAATTTAGAAAAAAGTTTAACCATGGTAATCAGCAGCTACCAGAACTGGTTTTATACCTGTTAATTAATCAGCAAGTCACCTCAGTTTCAGCTCCTCACTGCTCAAGTCAGTTGATCAGGATGATCTCTACAGATGATATGCGATGATCTGTATGGATATCAGTAACCATACTTCTACAGATAATGTCAATCTCAATCTACTTATTCCTCTTAAGGTCTGCC